TGTAATTCTTCAAAAATAATGTTTTCAAATGTTTGAAAATATTTGCCTAATAACAGAATAATAATATATGCACCAAAATTTTTCTAGGTAATTAATAAGAAATACTATTCTTCAGAGCAAGATAAGTAACAGATATACCAAATTTCCTTGTAAATGAATAAAAATAATCTAGCTTTGCTTAGATAAGTGAAGTATATGTAAAACTTTCCTTTCTACAAACGTAGTCTTTTAAAATAAACTGGTGTCTAGTATACCAGGTGATTATTTTATAGCTGTTAATCTACTATCTTTGGGTCAATTTTCCTTCAGGAGTTTTATCTGCTGCAGAATGGAAACCCCCTCTTCCCGCTTATGATTTTCTAAGTATGATAGATGCTGAAACATCTCAACATGCCCCCAGGAAAGATCCTGAATGTATGAAAGAAACCGATGTGCAGGAGAATTATAAGGAACAACATGAAGATACATCAAAAGTCACAATAAAGCACCTGCGTAATCGTAATTGGTTTGAAGTAGAAAAAGCTTTTTTGCCTGATAAAGAGTTATGATATGCAAAACATTGCATAGAGTTGTGGGAAATTTCAAAATTTCTTTTAGCTTATTTTGTAACTTCAGAATTTCTTTCTATAAAAATAATAAATATTTGATGTTTCTATAATAATACTGTTCAATAGACATGTAATACACAATCCTGCAGTAACAGTAATGACGTGGTAATCTGAGTGAATGCAAGCTGAATAGGTGTGGGAGGGTGAACAGAACTATATCCATGAGTACGCCCCTGAATAGGTTTGGCAGAGGAAATTTCCACATGCAAATTACCAAACGCATTTCTACGTGTCCTACAAATATATTCAGTTACAGCATAGAGCTACAGGGACAAAGCTATGAAAACTTCCTCGCCTTAACGAAACATGACGAAGCAATGAGTCACTGGACTTGGGAGCAGAGAAGCATCGTCTTGCGGAGTAACTAGGTCAGTTGACATAACATTGTCCACATAGTTAATGTTCTATACCCTGATTTTGGTAAGAAGCCACTGGAGTCCTAAAAGCTTGTGAGAGGCGATCTATGATGAAACAATTGGTCTTCCTCTGTCTGAAGTAATGAAAAATTGAGAAATTAAGACGTAAGGAAACAATTAGATTAAAGGACTAATGGACAGTATGACCCACAGCCCCTACTACCCCGAGATCAGAAGACATAGATGGTGCTTGGCTACCTCAATCAACCACTCTAATCAGGATTACAGTGGAAGGTCTAGGGTAGAATGGGAGAAAAATGTGGAACAAAACTCAAAATCATAATAAAAAGTCTAAAATTACTAGTCTGGTAGAGATGTTGTTACCCCCCAGGGCATGACGATGGCCTTTAAGGCACTCTTCAGAACTGGAGGCAAAGCCACCCCAGATATCATCCTTCATCCAAATAATAGGTCTATGAAGTGACCAGT